AGCACATTTAAGAACAAAAACTGGAGAAAAGATGGGAGGATACCAAGGGATCCTTATGCTCAGTAACGAGAGGAGGTACAAACAAGACAACAAGGGGTTAAGATAACAATAATAGCTAAATTAGCTCGATTGAAGCAAGATGGGATCGAGTCTACTTTTAATTAAGGATCTGATCCGTCTAGGACCACTTATCTATTGGCTGGCTAAATAGATTCATTGTTGCCAATTGCTTCATTCTCTAATTTTGATCCGTCTAGGACCACTTATCTATTGCCTGGCTAAATAGATCCATTATTATCAATTGCTTCAATCTGTAATCTAAGTCTCACAGAAAGGAAACTATTCATTTATACGGAATGACAGCAGGCCATGCATAACCATAAGACTAAGATAGGCATGATCACATGGCAAAATGTTATTAGTATGAAGGAGAACATTATATCTGTGATAAATCTAACCTTCTCAGCCACAGCAAATGCAGCTTGGACAGGAGTCATCCCTTGAAAGGGAAGCAAAGCCGTTGTGAGTTCCCATAGCACAATTCCAAAACTATACACATCCACCTTTCGTGTGTAAGGTTTCTCCTTGATCATCTCCGGAGCCATCCACCGATAAGTTCCCATGTTCCCTTTGGCTTCGCGACACTGTGTTTCCAGACATGATGTTCCAAAATCTGCTACCTTGACACGCATCTCATCGTTTAAGAGCAAATTGCTGGATTTAAGGTCCCTATGGATCACTCCTTGTGAGTGAAGGTACTCCATTCCTCGTGATATGTCAAGAGCTAATCTAAGAATAGTTTCTGTTGAAAGTGAATATGGCTCTTTCTTGTTGAGATACATCCTAAGGGTTCCCTGAGACATGTATTCTGTAATGATGCAATACACGGGAGGCTTCTTACAAGCTGCAATAAACTGTAACAAGGAACAGTGTGTGATAGTAAGTACTGTTTTATATGCTGCGGTTGAAATACTTAACTACCTTAGGTTTCTGAAAAGTTTCCTTAGCTGATACAATCAGCGGTAGCATCATTCAATATTTAAAATTACTGTTCTGAATGATGGGTATTAGTCTAATCTATCAACTAAAGCATTGAAGGATGTTTCTGTTTCTGAGCCTGAGACTGTATTTCCACCACATACTTGTAAAAAGCATTTCTCATGATTTAAATGTCCAAATTACATGACAGAGCGGAAGGAGTGATTATCAACTATATCTAGGCATACGAAATAAGGAAAAAGTAAAGGTGTTCATTTACTCAGACATTTCATCATTAAGGCAGACACTCAATGCTATGGCAATTCCTGCAATAATTGTGAATTTGATGAGGTTCAGATATAACAAATGAAAATGCACGCCATGAATGCATTGAACAAGCATTCAATCCCATCAAATGTACAAAGATTACTCTTTCAAAAACTAAGAGCTTCCATTGCTCTAAGTGCGAAATGAGGAGACTAGTGAAATTAACAGGCAGCAGTTATGTATTGTGTTTCTGTCAGATGGCAAATGGTATTCTCAAAGAAATGAAATACCAATACTTTTCTAATCGGTACATATTTTAGTTTGTGATGATGAATTGAACATGCATTCGAATATATGAGTTATCAATCGATTCTTAAGGACATAACTCGTGACCTTAACAAGGCCAACCATATAAATGAAGAATCTCATCATGATAGCATATCAATTTATGAATGATATAGACATCGACAGAATTATAGAAAATACGATTGGATTATTGGTACCACATAATTTGTATTTTTATTGATCTAAACATTAATTGATGCTTTCAAATATATACCTCTTTAATCACATACTTGCATAAAAGCAACACTGAAACTGACTCAAAAGATTCAACACAACGAACCTGCACTATGTTGGGATGATAGAGACGCGAAAGCAGGGCAACTTCAGACTTGAATTGCTGTTCAAGCTTAGCTCTAGTCTCTTCATTGTGGCTTGGAATTCTGACCATCTTCACAGCCACTGCTCTCTGCTTATAAATCCCTCTATAGATCCTACTATGTGCCCCAGAAGCAAATTTATTACCTATAAACAACTGAGATAGATCAGCTGTCCATTCCTCTTGATCCTCCTTCGATGCTTCCCAAGTCTCCACATTCTCAGACTCCAATATCATTGACCATGACTCTAAACTGTCAAATCTCTTCCTTTCCATGTTGTCAGTATCAGTATTTAACTGAGTTCTGGAAGAGGAGGAGGGAATTGATAATGGCTTGCTCTTAGACTTTCTCAGCCTAAATGGTTTAAAACATGATGAAGCCATCAGGAATTCCAAACCTTTGCCAAGCTCGGTTTTTTTTTCTTTTTTTTCCTTTTGGAGGAGGGGGGTGCGGGGGCTTAATCAGAAAGCCTTTGTAGTCAGAAACAACACATAGTCTTCAATAATTAGTGTTTTCCTTCTAAAAGTATGAATTGATTTCAAGAAATGCATGAACTGATTCAGAAACATGGGTGGTCCTGAATATCTACTAGAAAAGGGATGATGGCTTTCATGTATAATATGTTAAAGACGTATCAAAGATAAAGATAATCCATCACAAGCTTTAAACACAGAAGATTAAGAGAGAAAGAAAGCAGAAGCGAGCACACTTCTCGACTAGAATGAATTTGCATGATTACTAAAGAAAGAAGTTCATCAAGTGGTTTGTAAAGTCAGAAAAAAGATGTGTGTATTTAGGCAAGGATTGTCGGAACTTTCATGGTGATAAAAAGGTGGAATGAAGTGAAGGATATGTCCATCAAAATTCAGAAATGAAAAATTTTTTTTTTCCAAAGGAAGAGAGATTGTGAAGTAACAATGGCCATTTGTTATATGATGAGGTAAAGGCAGTTTGGCACAGAGGCATGAACTCAAAGGAGAAATTTTCAGGAAAGTCCCGTGAGTTCTTGGTTCCCATAATAAAGTTTACAGAAAGAGGGGAAGAGACTTCACTTTTTCCCAAAGGAATCCAATCCAACACCTTCTTCGTCTCTTCTTCTTTTGTGCCATTCAATGCGAACTTGCTGTCACAGGTCTTAACGTTTCCTTCATGTTTTTTATTCGAGTATTTTCCATATCCTACTAATTTTTTCCTTTATTCTTTTTAACAGATTTTAAATGATTCGGATAATATACCGCGGGATAAACTCCTCCTCAAATCTATCAAGGCAAAAAGAGCAAATATTTTGCTCATAAGTTCCTCTGTTGTGCACTGCAAGCTGAGAGAACTTGTTCTACGTCAAAACTACAAGTTCTAACACTCGAAAAAGATACCAAAACCTATGCATCCAAGAATTTCCATCAATTATGTACTGCAAAAACCTGCCGTATCATTTGCGCAGTAGCGTTGGGCTGTTGGGGAACGAGTTGCCTCAATTTTGGTTGTTGTCCAAATGGTGAATATGTAGGCTTTTTCCAAATAAAAATGAGAAGAAATATGAGAGTGAAATCAATCAGAAGAAGGTATTTCTAAATCCGTCCACCATTTTTCTTGCGCGGACCAGGAAACATGTTCATAAATTTTTCAAGTTGGTACACTCGAATCGAATGTAGTAGTTATCATGATTTTTAACTCCAAGAAAATAGTTGTTAGTTCTTGTAAGATGTGCCAAAAATAGCTATGACTGTTTAAATTGAACAAAAATTACGTATTGTGGATTCTCGATATTACAGCTATAATTGGTTAGGCGAAAAACTTTATCACCGTCAATTGATTCCTTTTTGTAATACCAGTTCTGTCTTGGCTTTATAATTTATGGTTAGTTTCTGTCAAAATCTTGCTTAATATTGTTACACCATGAATCTCATCACCATTTATGCACGAAGACGAAATTAATATTCTTATTCTACAATCTTTTCCAAAATGTGAACAGAAAAGGCCTATAGGTGCAAATGAGTTGAGTTTAATTGAATAGTTCGCGAATTTGCTCGGTTAAAACTCGAGTTTGAACTTGCGTTGATCGAGTTTGAGTAGCTCGAGCTACTTGACGAATTGAACTCAAGTTTAATATGTGAAACTCGAAATCAAGCTTAAGAGTTTAATTGAGTTTCACACACACACACATTTTTAATTTATTAGTATGAAATATCTATTTTGTCCCTTGTCTAAATTTATACAAAACATAAATTTATATTTCTTAAACTCGATGAGGTTCGATTAAACTCGATTGAACGCAAATTAAGCTTGACTAGATTTGACGAGCAAAAGCTCGAGTTCGAATTTAAGTAAATGCAAAACAAAATCGATTTCAAATTCTATATCGAATCCAAGTTTATTTTAACTCGAACTCTGCTCGACTTGAGCCTCGATTGCATCCGTAAAAAGGCCTAACAGTGCGTAGTCCTTCGTCCGAGGATTGTTTTGCAAGGTGACAAGGTTGGCAACTTTTGGAAATCTATTTAGGCATGAGAATAGAATAAAATGGAATGAATCATATTTTGCGGTGAACTAACCAATAGGCAAGGAGACGTTAAGGCACTTGTTTACCTAAAGCTGCAAAGATCTTGCTTAATTTGCATTCATCTATAGGAATTTTAAAAGTGGAAACCAAAACAAAACAAAGGGAAAATGGCAGTTGCCAATTTCAATTTGTGGTATCGTTGTGTGAAAGAGGATACTATAGAAATTGGATTGCGCAGACAGGCAACTACCTATGATGATCCACGCATAAGAGCCCACAAAGGGTTTGGGCTTTTAGGCCCTTAAGTGGCTAAAATTTTGGTCTCGTTTGGGGTTCTCAGTTTCTCACCTCTCGAGTAACACTTTACATTGGCCGGATCCCAAAAATAATACGAAAAATAAACGGATAAAAAAAAAAGAAAAGAAATTGTTTTTCCCACATGTTGTATTTACCATCTTTATCTTTAGAGCATGAGTCATTATCTTTGGTATCAAAATTTTTTGTGATTATTTGTTTTTCATCTTGTACTCTCAAATAAGTAAGAAATTTATACATATAACTACCAAAACAAACCAATAATACTTATTCAACTAGTGTGAATACCCGTGCTACGCACGGTGCTGATATTATTGAAAAAAATAAAATGGTGAACAACTAAAGGTGAAAAAATTGAACCAACAAAATTTAAATGTAATATCTGTTTAACAATAGTTTGAAATATGATAGAATGTGTATATCATTCAAGAACTGTCTTTTTTCGAAAGATGGATCCTGAAAAAAAAAATTAAAATTTATATTAAAAAAGGGAATGATATATTTCTACAAATGAATGCAATTGAATGTTGTTAAAATGAAATACTTACAAATACTAAGCATTCGATTTGATAATCTTTCTTGAAGGTGCGAACACTCTTCACACCAATCCACTTTTAGTACGAAAGTCAAAATTGATAATTTAATTAACTATGTTGAATTTTGTGGAGTGTGTACTACAAATGACAATGCACGATCTTTGACGATATAAAAAACTGTATATTTACCATGATCACGCAAAAGTATTGGTGATGCGGATGGCTATCGAACTTGAAGAGAGGCAATATTTTCATTTCTTGATCTAGAAAAAATATATATATTAAATAAAAAATAAATAGTTTTTGTATTTATTTTATGTGTAGTAAGTGATACATTGTATGAGAATTGTTAACAAAAAAATACAATAGTTAATATAGAAGTAGCATCAATAGAATTTAATACAATTGTGTTGTAATCAACTAAAAATTACGCACCAATAGAATTGTTATTAACACTCATAGTTAATGAAGTAATCCCTATATAAATATATTTTGGTATATGTAGACCCCCCAAATCCCGCAAAACCAATCTCCACTTATTGAAAACAAACCAATAAATGCACTAAAATGCCTCCCATCTATACCTCAAATTGCACTTTAACCTATGAATTTTGTGCGAAATTATCCCTCTAATTGCTTTTGTCCTTTTCGATTTTTTCACATGTCGTTAACTGCTTCATTCCCTCTGCTATCACTTGTATATTTAAAATCAATTTTTAATATTAAATAAAAAGGAATGTATTAGTTTATAATATGTTCATAATATAGATAAATTATTAAATTTGGAAAAAGGCGTATGTTCTTATAGGCTTATTTTCTTTTTCTTTTTTTTTTGGGAAAATGAGTTTGTTCTTGTAGATTTTTTTTTATTTTTTGGATACAGAATTGTTTTTCAAAGATTTTGGTTCGTAGTCCCTACTATGTTTAAACCATCTTTTAATATCCAATTCAATATTGTCTTTTAATTTAGCAGCCTCTATAATTTTTAATTTATTCTTTTGGTTTAAGTTCAGTTAGAATTCAGAAATTTTCAAATACCAAGAGAAATCATATATTTTTTTTAAATCACTGTCTTGAGTCAGGTAGAGCGCCGAAATATGAGTCAGGATTATTTCCTTGTGCAGTTTCCTAATATCTGGTATGATATATAATTATGTCCCTCGGATTTTTTTTTCATATAGATATCGTTAGGTCTTTGGTATCACTACTGAACATTATCCAAACTTAGAAGGATGCGTTTTTTCTAATCCAGTGGATGCAAAAATACAAAAATATAAAAAATGAAGGTAATATTTCAATTCAAACTCTAAAAAGTAGGATACCATCCTTCAAGAAGTTTCATGCCTTCTTTAGCATCTCAAAAATATGCAACATAGAACAGTTATTTGAATGCTAATAAACTCTCTTTCTACCAATTTTGAAAGGCCAACCATTAAAAGTGAAGTGAAAATTATTGCAGTCAATGCAGAGAGAAAATGATAAAGAAAAGAAAGGCTAGAATGCAATTTTGCCAAAAGAATTTCTGACGAAATTAAAAATTAATCCAATTTTAATAATGGGCGTATAGTGCCTTAGTTATTAGTAGTATCTGAATTGTTTTTCTCTAATTATAAACCATTTTTAATTATTTTTTATTATCAAAAAAATATATTTTTTATCTCATGCACGATCATTTTTGGAATAAAATTATGAAAATAACTATCGTAACACCTTTTTTATGTGATAAATGTGCAATAAAAATTAATTAAAAAAATTTCAGTAATACAAACAAATAAATTTTATAATATACAATTTATGTTAGAAATAGTAAAACCCTCAATCATGAATCTATACCATTCGCAATTATATAAGCAAGCAATACCTTATGTTAGAAATGCGATTGTGATTTTGTGTTTATATTTTATCCCACTATTGACTATCTTTGCTTTACAGTGTAACAATAAGCAAACAACCGTTCATAGGATTTTGTAAAAAATTTTCAGAAATAATGGATGATCAGAAAATCAATGCAATATCATTCATGACAAAAAGCAAAGCAAAAGCAAAACATACTTAAAAGGCAGAGGGGACTGACCTGAAAAATTAAGTTGGCAAGAATATACTTCCAATTCTCCGCAAGAAGGTTGAGTTCTGCTAAAGTCTGTGCACATAATATCTTCCATTACTGCTCATAAAAGAAACAAAATCAATACATTTACAAAATGAATAGAGAACCAAAAATAAATAAGAAAATGAGAGAGAGTGGGGGTGAGATAGTGGGATAGTGGGAATAGAGAATTTGTAGGAGTGGTTATAGGATGAGTTAAGATAGTGGGATAGTGGGAGTGAGATAGTGGGAATATTGATGGGTGATAAGGTGGGTTATAACCCACTACATTTTATGTATTAAAATAAATACAAAAATCTAGAAAAAAGAATGAGAAGTTTAGAAGTCATTGAGAGGGTTTCTGCTAAAAATCCCTTCCTGAATACATATAGATATAGATTTTAACTTCCAATAACTCTTCTTCTTTTTTCGTCTTTTCTTTTGGCAAATCAAACTTCTAATAACTTCTACCTTTGTTGTTAAGAAAAAAAAAATCTCTTACCATTCTCTTGTTAAAAAAAAAAAAACTTTGTTTTAATTTGCACATCCATGAGATGTGCTTATCCCATTAGTTTATTTTATCACACTAGATCGTATAATTGTCTAAATTTGAAGAAAATGAAAAATTTTTCTTAATAAAAAAAGATTATATGTTTTATCTCACTCTTTAACATCCTACATTCTTACTTTACAATCTACTTTTCTATTGATAAAAAAAAAAAAAAAAAAAGACTACACCTATCACGGATAGTAAGATAAACATTGCAAACTGTCAATTATGTTCGTTGCATGTAGAAATTATTCAGAATTTTTTATGTGTAGCTAGAAAATTGCGATACAAAAAATTCATTTCAAGACTATTCAAGAAAAGAAAAGGTTTTTATCCCCAAAAAAAAAAAAAGAAGGAAAAGACTAAACTGCCGAGGAGTAGACGGTAATTTGACAAACTCCCAGCGACCTTCTGAGCTCCCGCCCGTAAATTCATCTTCCTTCCTTGTAAAATCGCTGCTGCAAATTGCAAAATCGATTCGTTTATCGGTAACAAATTTTACTTGCTTTCCTCTCCACGATCCTAATATTCTTCCGGAAGGTTCGGTTTTCTTCATCTTCATTTTCCGTACAGATTTAAACTGCTACTACTACTCGGTAGTGTACTTATTTTCCTGATGATGACTTCCTATCTCCCTATTTGAATCACGATCGAACTTTTTTAAATATCTTCTGTAGCTCTCAATCTTTGAAGGTACGTTTATTCTCCATTTTCGAATTTCGGCAGCGTAATCGTTGTTTCTGTGGGTATGAGCAGATAGCGCTATTTTGCTTCGATTAGTCGGACCTCATTTCGTTAATTATTAACTGATACCGATCCGCCTCCCTTTTTCCCCCCAATAAATTTAGTTTTTCTTCGTTTTGGTGAATTTTATACATCTTCCCTCGTCATTATTTTTGAGAATCGGTAAAATATTTGTCTGCAGATGGGAACCCATTAATTGGCTGAAATTAATAGATTGTTGCTAACATATTAGCATCTGGTGAGCTGCAAAATTACAATTGAGAACTTAGAAAGTATTTGAGGTTGTTGGCTGCAATATAATGGTTTCGGTATCAACGTACAGAAGAATGTTAATTTGGGACTGTTTCTTCTTGTCAATTTCCTCTTTTTAACACGTGAAAGTTTGGGGGTATCAAAATTGAATGACGTTTTCTGAGCTGTGGAACTGACGAATCTACAGAGGATGAAAGCATGGGGTTTTCATCTAGAAGTGAAGAACGTTACAATTAGGTGTTTAGACAGCAGAATCTAGATTCATCATGAGGCTTGATTTTTGATCTGATTGATGCACGTGGGGATGCTGATTATGTCCCACTTTTGCTTCAATCATTTGCTGAGGTATTAAACATGTAGTCCGAGGTTCCAAAATTTTTTTACGTACCAGTTCAGAGCATGTCCTTGATGCTTCTTGTCACTGAACAGGAACAGGTACAGAGCTTTTGTGGTTAAATTTAGTAATTGAACTTTTACTTCTGCACACGAGTGTTCATTCTTTGCGTAACTTGTAGCTGGAAAGGGAAGGAAGTTTGACCTATATACTGCGGCCAGGTTGCATAAGCAGGCATCGTTAGTATCAGTTTCATTTGGTTTTTGATCATTAGGATGCTGGTCTCACCATTCTATGTAACGCTGGATCTGCATTTCCGGGGTTTGGTTATAGAGAGATATCAGATTCTGCGTACTGATAGCGTCGAACTTTGTACGGGTTACCGTGGAAAAAGGCAATAAACCGGTGCAAATGTAGGGAGAAGCAGTTTTAGGCAGTATTAATTAGTATCCGCATCAAGTCAGAAAGACGAAACGATTGAGAACATCTTTTCATCGGCCTTGGCACCGTTGAAATCAACTTGATAGCGTTGACAGCTTGCTGCCTTTGCTCCGGTTTCACTTTTCACTCTGAATTCCGGTAAATAAAGATCATGGATTCTGTGTCTAAGAGGCCCGATAGGTTAGTGGCTTCGTGCATTTGCTTGCAACGAGTGATCCATTCCAGATAATGGTATTGAAGACAGCATTATTGTTGCACTTGTCTCCTTATCGATAGCATATTATTGAATTGACTGCGTGCTAATTCTTGACCATGTACGAGAGGAGATTGCCGTCCTCTGCTTAGGCTCACTCAGCAGTAAGTTGTGATTGCGGCGGAGCGGTGCAAGCCCTCACAACTGCCGGTCATCATCAGACGTTTAGGAGAGGGTTTGATATGGCCAGCCATCCAGGGTGTGGAGGAGTCTCCGGTTTTCTGACAATTGGAAAAGAAAATATGGACATGGTTTGACGCCGGGATATGTGACATAGTAAACTACAGCACAAAGAAGCCGGTGTATTAATTGTGCGTTATAAATATACGACGGCACGCGCCAAATGAGAGGCTTTGCGAGCCTAAGCTTAAGAAAGCAAAGGATCACCCACCGCTGCCTTGTTTATTGCTAGATCTGATGGTGACATCAATTATACTACTTGAAAACAAGAGAGTTTTATATAGTTTCCAAAGAATTTTGCTCTTAATGGAAATGGAATCGGTGCTGGATTTGTTAAACATCTGCCAGGCTCCCTCAAAAGACACCAGCACCATACCTGGTTGACGTTTTACCACCGCATTGGATCAGTCGCATTTGAATAACTATATATAATTGACCCTAGTCACTGCTACTTCAGAACGGAGTATTATTGATGGAGACACCAACCAACCCCTTCAAATTCCTCGAAACGTGGTGCAAATATTTTCCATGGAAAGTATCATAATTTTTATATTTTTTGGGACGTTTCAAAACATTCCTCTTTCTTTCTAATATAATTCCTTTTTTTTTTCTTTTGCAGGAGATAAAATTGAAAAGATAAGCACGACCATCACAATCAAATCACTATTTTTAAAAAATTGAATTCCGACTGAATAATTGAAACGGAGGAGGAGAGGAGGGAGTACATTTTTCTTTCCAAAGATACATGTATGTGCTCAGCTTAATTGACCAACTCCTGAATTTTGTTAGAAAGCAAAGGCGTCCGTCTATCCATCATCATCAAAGCATTGGACTAGGTAATGTACTAATGGTACTTAGCATTCTAAGCTCGCGAAATAAAATAGGGCTTGATGTTGTAGTAGCTAAGATTGAGATATCACACTGCTACTGCTTATTAAACGAGTTGTAAATTTTAATCCAACTTTCAAAGCCAAGTAAATCCTACCTACCTACCAGTAAAATGTAAACAATCAATCAATCCTGTGCATGGATTGGATGGGGGGTCGCTCAGTCAGTTTAATTGAGAAATGCCTAGGATGAAAGGGATGGTCGGCAGCTCCGAACTACCATTCCATCATAGCCATGGATTCCTCTTTCACAATAATATCTCTCATTTTCCACAGGATTCCATGGGTTAAAAAAAAAAATAAAAAGGACCCCACTCTACAATTTGGGACCCAAGCACCACATGGATCCCTTCAAAGATCTGAAGGTTTAAAATCCCTGACCCTACCCCTTAACCCAAATTGTCACCGACGCAAACAACCAAAACCCGGAAATTACAGCCAACAACCCAAAATAAAAACAAAACACAAACTGGTTTCATGCTTTGCCAGAGCGCAGCAGCGTATGCACTACTCATTTGCCTACTTCTTTGATTTGATACTGATGAGTAACTGACGACCTTTCTATTGTATTGTATATATACATGACAATAAAGACCGGAGAGTAGACGCCGGACGTGGACAAACATGTCCTTATCACAAATCACAGCCCCCGTTTTGTCTTTTCACACGAACACCCTCCCTCCTGACGTCACCCTCCTCTCCCCTGACTCTCTCTCAAGTCTCACCGAAACACACTCGCTCACACTCTCACTCTCACTCTCACTATACTCTTTTCCTCGCAACTGTGCTTGAAAACTCTCCCAAACCAAAACAAAACAAAAAAAAAAAAAACCAAAAACTAAAACATATAAATCAAAGCAGAAAAAAAAAGGGAAAGAAAGAACCTAGCAAAGGTCGTTCAGAGAAGCTTGAATTTATATAATCAAAAGAAAAGAAAAAAAAAAAAAAAGAGAGAAGGAAAGGAAAGATGAGTGGTCGGACCGGGTCGCACCAGCTGAGCAATGGGTTGTACGTATCCGGTAGGCCCGAACAGCTGAAAGAGCGGCAGCCAACAATGGCTTCCCGCGCCGTCCCCTACACGGGGGGCGACGTTAAGAAATCCGGCGAGCTGGGGAAAATGTACGGCATCGACTTCACCGCCGCAGCCGGGGACCACCACCCCCATCCCCATCCCCATCCCCATCCCTCCGGGGCTCCACCTCCTCTGAAGCCCTCGTCGAGGCACTCCTCGTCCTCGCAGCACAACAGTGGATCTCTCAGATCCGGCCCGAACTCAGGCCCATTGGGCCAGAAATCCGGTAACTCCGGCCCCATGCCGCCCAAGAGGTACACCTCTTCCTCCTCCTCCTTTTCCGGGCCCGTGACCCCGATTCAGCCCACAGGGCTGATTACCTCTGGGCCATTGGCCACCAGTGCCGCCGGTGCCCGAAGCGGTCGGTCTGGCCAGCTCGAGCCGCATGCTGGACCGACCACTAAACCTGCTTACGGTTCCGCCGTCACTAGCTTGAGCCAGGACGGCAGGTACGGGTTCAGGGTTTCGCGGGCGGCAATGTGGGTGTTTTTTATAGTGGTGGTGATGGGTTTGGTGGTGGGGGCGTTTTTAATGGTGGCGGTGAAGAAGTCGGTTATCTTGTTGGCCGTGGCGGGGGTTTTGGCTCCGGTTTTGGTCATCCTTTTGTGGAATTTTGCCTACAAGAAGAGAGGGTTATTAGGATATTTAAGGAGATACCCGGACGCTGAGCTGAGAGGTGCCGTGGATGGGCAGTACGTCAAGGTCACGGGGGTAATTTCTCAATTTTTGAATTTTTTTTAATTGCAATGTCTTATTATTTTATTGATGGTTAATCGAGTTTGTTTGAGTTTTTATTCTATTATTTACTTGGGGATTCATTTTTGTTTAGTGTGGGTTTATTAGTGGTGGTTCTTTTATTGTATAGAGGGGGTAATTGTGGTTCCTGCATGTTCCCCCAACCCCCCCCCTCCTTTTATTGTGTTGCTAATTTGTTGTCAATTGACAAATTTAACCCTGAAGGTCTTCTTTTGTAGATATCTCATGCAGAATGTGATGTGACTGTGTTTGCAGGCATTTGAATTTTGCCAATTTTTGTTGGAGGGTTTTGAACGTTCAAGGCATAGCAAAAAAATAATGCTAGGTTTGGAACTAGTTATGATTTCTTTCGAATATCAAATGAGTAAGAATTTACTGATTGGCTTCTGATTGTGTGGATTGTTGCATTACCATTGGAAAGCAGAATAATTGTATTAATTGCTAATTGTTTCGGCGGCTTGTCGGTTTAAGGCAGTTGGATGTTCTGTTTGTCGAAGTTAGACGTAATTCAGACATATCTTTAGTGATTGGGAAGAAAGAAAATGATTGGCTTAAAACTAGGAGTTTTAAGTATATGTTCTGTATTCTTCTCCTAGAAAGTGTTCTAGTTACTTTTTCCGAGAAAAAATGTCCGTGAACTGATTGGCCTTCTCATGATTGGTCGAGATATTTTACATTCATTTACAAAGTGCTTGTCAATAAATTCCAACAATCTAATGTTCTCTCTTCGTGGATTTTTCTGTAGTCGAGTAGCATCATTACATATGGCATGGTGAGGCTAAAGGACTTTTATTCTGCTGTCGCTATGTGCCATTTGTAAAGAAAAAAATTCCGGTTATTACTATATGTCCGAACTCAGGAATCAGGGCTTATTTCATTAATTGCTGTAATTTTTGTTTATATAAACTATTGGTTGACTTCCGGTTTTCATACTTTTTAGAAGCATAAAAGTTTCTGTCGACGCTCATTTTCTTCAGATATTTCCTTTTCCTCTCGTCCAAGAAAGCTTAGAAATCTGGCTAGTATTATCTGCCACAAATTAATGTTGCTATTTCTAATATATATCTCCAAAATTGATTCACCCCAGCATCTCCTTCTCCCCTCCCCCACCCCACAATTTGAGGTTTGTTACCTTAAATCTACTTTTTTTCTTAAGCATTTCCTTTAGAATATGAATCCTTCCGGAGATGAGGATGCAGTGAGATTACTTTTTGAAAAGTAATCTCATTGGTAAGTAACATTGGTGATACGTCCCTCCTAGTCTCTGAGTTTTATTCATCATGTGTGTGGAAGTCTGTCCTCCTATTGTGAATACTTCATCTATTGTCATTTCTGATTTGAGGCATTCAAATGGTAAGGACATAGTTGAGTGTCACTGGAGATGTGTTCTACAAAATGTAGCTATCATTGTGCTGTGCTTACAGTTGAATTCTATATAGCAAGTATGCAGATGTCAAATTGTAACAACATTCCATGGTTTTTCCTAATCCTTTCAGAAGCTAAGAGCTGCCTGATGACTTCTGTATGTAGGTCGTCACCTGTGGAAGTATTCCTCTTGAATCTTCTTTTCAGAGGGTTCCAAGATGTGTTTATACATCAACAGTATTGCATGAATACAGGGGATGGGGTGGAAAATCTGCAAATGCTAAACACCGTTTTTTCTCATGGGGATGTAGACATTCAGAGGTCAGTTCATTATTTTGGTTCTAATATCAGGAAATTAATTGTTTGAATGTCTTAGTATTGTTATCCAACATAAGTTGATACCGAGAGTCAAGCATGAAATCAGTTGGCGGCATCTTCTGTATTTAGCTTCAGAATAGTTGTTATTGGGGTGATAGCATGTGAAGGTTACAATTATTGCTGCTTTACGGCTACAATAACCTTGTACCTTACATCTCTTTTAACAGAAATATGTGGCTGACTTTTACATTTCGGACTTCCAATCTGGTTTAAGAGCTCTAGTGAAAGCTGGGTACGGAGCTAAGGTAACTCCATTGGTCAAACCAACAACGGTTGTTGATATAACAAAAGGGAACAAGGAATTATCTCCAAATTTTCTGCGCTGGCTTGCTGATCGAAGCCTCTCAAGTGATGACCGGATTATGCGTCTTAGAGAAGGGTAAGTTTGTAAATTGATTGGATTCTTTCATTCATGTTATTGCTTTGATTCATGCAATCTACTCTTGTTCTGTATCCTACTTGCTAATACTACTTTTTGCAACTTGCACACATCATGAACAGTCTCACGATCTACTTCTATTATTGTTGTTTCAGCATTTTTGTCGTGTTTCTGGGAACACATGCAAGGCTTTAGAATTCTAAATGAGTTTCTCACTTGTATATGCCTGAAAAACTGGGGAAAGGGAGCTCCAGCTCTCTTGATTTTCCATGTTAATCTAATTCATTAATCTTTTTTGCTGTTGTTATTTCTGTAATTCTGTTACAGCTAGTTGATGAGGCAAAAAATGAATTTGACCAACGACTAAATTATTATCCTTCCATGCACAATTCCATGGATGAAATTTGGTGTCTAAATTTGTATTGCTAGTACCATATCTCTAAATTTGTATTGCTAGTACCATATCTCTAAGCAAAAGTGTGGAATATATAAAATGCTACATTGCATCTTTCTAAAGGTTATACACACTCACACACACGCATATGTTGTAGTTTGTATATGGAAATTGCTTAATTGGAGGATTTAAAATAACGGGGAAAAATTCTTGCCAAATGCATGGAAATATTGTAAAGGGTTCACAAATAACCTTTATATGGAAGTTAATGTCTTAATCACTTCAAAATAATGAGAAGATTGTACTTTGAACTGCTTTCCTTTTACATTTTGTTTCTGAAAAGATACTGCAAGTAACTAGTTTTAGGAAGTTCAAGTGGGCTATATAAAATGCTTCACGACTATGTACTTTTTATAGAACTTTGTTTGGATTATTGTGTATGATTTGTCTGAATTTTGGAGAAAAGGAAACTTATATGTAGTTAATGTATCTCACATGCCCGTGTCTTCGGTTATCAGCGTACTTGTGTTACCTATCTACATGCATGCATAAATTCTACATATGTTCTGTAGAGTAGAGAGGAGAAAAACTATTTGAATGGGATTTGGAAAGGAATGATTTTGATGTGCCAGAAATAGATGTAAGAATGTCTTGAGCGATTTTCTAAGAAGCAACCTGGTTTGAAGCTTTATTGCTACTTTGCTTGTATGTTGGTGAAATAGAAGTTTCAACATATCACCTACAGTGAAAGGAAACCTCTTTGCGTTAGCTTATCGCAACAAGGAGAATATCTAGAGGGGCCATATAGATTCCACCTGAATAGTGAGATGGATGAGCTTTTGAAGTGTGTTTTAGTAGATTGCATGTTTGGATGCGATTTGTATTCTATTTACCGCAATCACTTTTGACACCAAGTTGATCTGAATTTGTTCCTTGTATGGCAGTTATATCAAAGAAGGAAGCACTGTAAGTGTCATGGGAACTGTCAGTCGGCATGATAACGTGCTTATGATTGTGCCACCCACAGAGCCCATGTCAACCGGTTGTCAGTGGACCCGCTGCCTTCTACCGACCTATGTTGAAGGTCTTGTATTGACATGTGATGAAAGTCAGACTGCTGATGTTATCCCTGTATAGATATACCTAAAGCTCATCAGTTGAACTTGTGTTTACTGCTTACTACAAGTATACAGTGGAAGGGTGAACCTGATCATATGTGAAACCCGCCAAACCACATTGTCTATACTTGCCGAGGATTTCAAGTATGCCATATAAGTTGGCCTGTAAAAAGACAATTAGGAAGACCAAAGATCTCACAATATGTGAGTGTAAATTATGAAAAATCATGTTGCTGATTATGTGTTGGCTTTTTATGGATACCTGGAAGTGACCAAAAAGCAGTTCCTGCAGCTAGGCAGTGCTTGTTGTGCTGATGTTTATTTCAGCATTTTGACCTTTAACTGCGTTATGTACATAAGTTGTCGTGGTGCCTTTAGCCTTGATGGTTTTCTTCATATGTATATTCTGGTTTGGCATTCTTTAGATTGATTCCATTCTAGGTCATATGTGAAACTAAGCATATGTGGTTAAAGTAACTTGAATACATTACTGAGCTGATGTGTCTCGTGACATTTGACCTACAGAGCTGTATGTAGATTGTTTTATTGCAGAGTAATACATAGCTCGGCAGGGGGATATCAGACCCAGTTGGGGTAGTCCTTTTTGCTTCGTGATCGAGGGATCGATGTTCTTTTTGGCGCTTCTCAGGCTGCCGTGCATGCAAGGCCAGCCCCAGTAGTCGCCAACTATTTTGGCTCCCACTTGGATTTTTTTTCAAAAAAATTTGTATCTATTTCTTTAATGTTTCAGTTCAGTGTTAATGGAAAGAGCTAAGTGCATTTATATTTTTATTGGATAATATCTAGTGAAGGCATTTATCAGAACCAGAGCTCTTTCTTTTCCTTGGTTTCTGAGATATGATATATCTCGTGTAAAGTCATAACAGCTATACCTAACTGTTTTCCAGTTCCAACATGTACGTCCAGAAGCAAATATTCAGCAAGACTAAACATATGGATTCACCTGCCATGTACGTCGTGCATTTCAAGAGATTTTTGTTTTTCCTTTTCTTTACCACGGTGTTTATCGAGAGTTGATCATACGAAGAACGTTGGCCTGATGTTGTTTATTTATGCAACTGGAAACTGGCACCGACATCGGTCTATTCCCAAGGTCTGAACTGAGTTTTCAGAGGGGAATTTTGAAACAAGCTAAATCTCTCTGTTATGTCAAGGATGATAGCATGAGCAGCAATGTAGCAAGATGCATAATGGCATTTCTTGGACAATCTACCAACACAACGTTGAAACTGGAAATTTGGAGCCTTCTGCTCTCAGGGCCTTGATCAATTCTTCTATCTATCAATTGGCCCCAGCCACATTTGCATCAGGAGTTTTATGTACCAAATGAATCCACCCAAAGACAAAATATATCAACCAAATTAGCAGGAGGAGAAAACCATCCAAAAGCTCATCCAGAAATGAGGAAAGTTCATGGCAAATGATTTTATGCAACCAAAAGATTTATCTGATCATCTTTCAGGCATGCCAGTCAATAATTAAGCACTTCTTACAATGATGGGTCCTCAAGACAGAAGGTCGGATAAGAGAAGAAAATGGCAACATAATAAATAACGAAAAGTGAAACGCAAGCTTATATAAAAGCTAACGTATAACTTAAAGTCTGGATGGGATTCCTCCTGCAACTACCAAAGTTTCTCCAGTTATATACGAAGCATCATCAGAAGCCAAAAAGGCAGTGGCTGCAGCCATATCATCTGTGGTTCCAAGTCTGTTAAGCAATGTTTTATCCTCTATGGCCTTCCTCTGCAAAACAAGCCAGTATCACATGGTTCCATGAGAGGGTGGTAGGCACTAAACCTTCCAAACCAACAAAAAACATATAGCTACATATATTAAAATCTTACAACATCAGCATTAGTAGTAATAAATGCAGCAAAATGTGTGGGCACAAAGCCAGGTGCAACACAGTTTACACGAGTATTTGGAGCCATCTCAGCAGCAAGGGCCTGCAACGCAAAATGAGAAATCTGTGTATGATCCCCAAGGTTTAACAAAATCCATGACAAGGGTATCAAAACAATATTTTTAAGACCTTGGTAAGCCCAAGAAGGGCTGTCTTGGTCACCCCATACATAGCCATGGAAGCCTGTGGTTGATAGCCAGCAATAGAGGAAATAAGAACTACAGAAGAACCCTTCTTAAGGTAAGGAGCTGCTTCCTGCCACAGAAAAATGCCACAACCACAATTTCATTTTAAAACAGTCAACAGCTTCAATAAATCACGGTGATAGAGACCGAAAAAAAATATTGACCAACGTGATAAAACAACAAAAAATCTCTGCTGGTTCAAACAATAAGGTGTAGTAGAATCATCATCTAAACATGGCCTATTGTGCCAAACATAGAATAATTACAATGAAATGCTCATAAATATGGACTTACTTGTAAAAGAAGTATAGAGGATTTCACATTTATCTCCCATAACTTGTCAAGGACTGGTTCTTTAGTTTCCAAAATGGAATCAACAGATGGATTGGCAGCGGCATTTGATACAACAACATCTATTTTTCCATATTTCTGCCAGAGCACCAGTAATATCCTCAACACTAATTAAAATTAAATGAAGTATACAAGCATTTGATTTAAGTAATAGAAGTAAAACTAAACACGTAATCTTCAAGAAAAACTTGAAACAAAACATGTGGAGAAAACTTGGTCCCACAATCCCCGCTATTTCTTTTACTATAGACGAGGAATATTACTAAAGCAAAAGAACAAAATATTCTAACCGTGCGCTCTACAGAATGCACGAAGCCAGGTGGTCAACATCATAGGATTGCAAAGATGTATAATAGCATGACTCATAGCAAGGGAATATCTTAAGTTGTCCTCATAAAGAAAAAGTACAATACTAATAACATGCAAGTTAAATCAGATCCGAGGTAAGCTTCAAGCCTTCCTTCAACCAAACAAAGATAATTCATCAACACATCACCAGCAAAATTGACTTGCTGAAGCCCCCTTTTCCTATAGAAAACCATGTTCAGAAGGCACTTGGAACCGAGACTAAGACCTTTTTCGGTGCATTCTAAAGAACCGCAATGCATAGGTAAACTTTTTAGGTTCGCCATCCTTCCTTTTTTGAAGCTTAAAGGCTGTTATTCCACCTCCGATGGTCACAGTAGGAGAGGCTGCTCCTACTTTTCATGGATACATACATAGCCATAGATACCCACAGTTTCGGCAAAAAAGAGAATACCATGTGCTTGATGAAACCAATCAACAATTAAAGCTGGAAAAGTTACCATCTTTCAGATAAACGAGGAATAAACCATCGCCCCTCAATTAAGGGACAGCGATTTTATGAATTAGACACATGGAAGCAAAAGAAATCAGCTACAGGCAACAAAGAAAAAATAAATGGGCATTTCCATTATACCAATCAACCACAAGAAAATCATTTCTCAGGTTATACTTCACCTGAATGGTCTTGTCAATCAGATTCTTCCTCTGCTGTAGATTTGACACATGACATACTAATCCATAAACCTCAATTCCTCGTGCCTTAAGTTTTTCCACTGCCTCGTCAACATTTATCTGCAAATATATACCAACGAAATCATCCCACCACCCAGATTCCATAAGTAAGACATAAAGTTGCAAAAGATCAAAAATTTATCCTAGAAACCAAAGGAAAAGAAAAACCCACATAGTGAACCCAACCAAAATATTAGTTCAACAAAATTCCAACCAGCAAAATTCCCCAATCCCAGATGAGAATTTCATTCAAAAAAAAAAAAAACACAAAGATCAGAGGTAAACAACGCTAAAGTAGAGGGGCCCAGAAACTAAGAGCAACCTGTTTGCGAGAAGAAATGACAACAGAGGCGCCTTCTAACCCAAGCCGCTCGGCGATACCAAGGCCAATGCCCTGAGTTGAAGCTGTGACAATTGCAACTTTCCCTTGAAGCCTTTTACCTATTTTTTCCATGGCTTTCTAATTTGGGGAATTGGGGTTTTCAATTTCAGACACAAAGTCTATTTAATTCAAAAGGTAGAAGTGCTGCATCAGGCGTCGTCTGAGGAGAAAAGGGGCTGTATTTGTACATTTTCCAGAACTTTCATTCTCTTTTATTTTCCTTTAAAAAAAAATTTGCCCGATTTGGATTCACACTCGACGAAACGATAATTTTGCCATTTTGGTAGTTTTTGGGGCCCACAAGATGCCATTTCGATGAATTCTCTGTTAATTTCTAGGACGATGCTTTATGGAATATACTCCCTCCGTCCGGTTTTATTAGTCTTGATTTTTTTTTTCACACAGATTAAGAAAGTGTAATTAATTTGGTTGGAAACATAAATTTAGATTAATAATTTCCTAAAATATCCTTATGCTAATCACGAAGAGTGCCAATTAATATCAGTTACAGCTAATGGGTTAGTATTGAAAAAACTCAATGTATTCAATGTAGTGGGTTAGTATTTAATAACAATGTATTAATAACAGAATATTTAATAAGGGTATTTTAGACAATTTGAAAGATTACTACATTTTTTAATGGGAAAGTGGACTACAATTTGGGACAGACGAAAAAGGAAAACAAGACTATCAAAGTGGGATGGAGGGAGTATGATGAAAATGCCTAGATGAAGTGGAAAATTGTTCATTCACAATAGACAATACAAATTGTTTGTTTCAGTTCATCTAAATTTAATTTATTTGTGTTCAGTTAATCTGAATCCGAAGTCTAAAACTAGAATCCAACATTGACCGCAAGAATTACTCACTCTCAATTGTTGTTGTTTTTTATTCTTGGGCAAATTATCCAATTGGCCCTTTAACTCTTTGTCTAGGTAAAATTAAGCCCCTCATCTATTTTTTGCTGACTTTAAGCCCTCGAACTTGTAAAATGAAAAATCCGTATCCCTTTTAGCCAGTTTCTTCGGTTTTGCAACCGGATGACCAATTCACACGAACGCCATGTGCTTCTTTCAAGGGCATTTTTGTCCTCATATTCTAAGCAAAAAGGGCACACATAATCCACCGAAGTAAGCTGGAAAAGTGCTCATTTTTAGTCAAAAAGAGAGAGAAAATAAAAGGGGAAATTGCTGATCACCTACCCCCCTTGCCCCATGCCGTAGAATATCAAACAAAAGAAAACGCAAAAAGATGGGAATTTTTAGATAAAAAATAATTTTCGAAAAAAAGGTGTTTCCTTTCTCACTTTTATTCCTCCTACTCTCCCCACCCCGCTGAAACAGAATGGCTGAGACGTCATTGCTTCAACTACTCAGACTCCACCAGGACGATGACGGCCTAGACGACGTCATTAAAGAAGTAGATTTTTCTCATCATCAAACCCATCCCCACCGCCATCATCTCGATCCCTACTGGTCTTCCGATTTCGATGCTATTGGTTGATCCCCCCAGCGACATCGTGTCGGAGCCCGAATCGGTTGTCACCAGCGCTGATCTTTTCGACCGCGAGAATCAGGTGAATTTCGTTATGGACCTCCTGCACCAACGAGTTGA